AGAGAGAGGGAGGATTGCGAGGAGGGGGCGAGAGGTGCGCGAGTGCGTTGTGTGAGTGGTAAGATGTCGCTGAGCTGTACAGCTTGGTACGTGAATCAGTTAATTGGGTCTCGTGTTTGAGATGGTCGCGACGAGCGCGGAGATCTGACGACGTGAGTCGGATAACTGACTGTGTGATAACGTACCATAAGTTGGAGTCAGACCTGTAGGCATTTGGCCTTCGGAACGCTTTCTTTTGTCGGAAACTTGGTCCGCTGACCTTTGGGCGCGCCTCAACGGTTCTACTACAGGTGTGTCCCGTCATGGGTGTTGGTCCTCCAGGCTGGCTGTTAGCTATCTATCCGTTCGGGCTTTGGGTGCGTGCCGCAAACACTTCTAAATTGTTTGGCATCGTCGCGGAACATCCCTCCCCGGTGTTTACAGTGCCCTTCCCGCCTCCCGCTCGTTTGGCCCCCCTATTTACTGTGCCCGCTCCCCTTTTCTTTGTCTCGGTGGTAGAGCGCCTCATTATCGTTTTGCCCTTTTTCGCCTTCACGGCGTTTCCGTGCCTTTTCCTGCCCCTTCTTCGAGTTTTTGTCTCTGTTCCTAGCCATTTCCGGCTTTGTTCCTGATCTGTTTTGGCCATTCTGAACACGGTTCTGTTGTCCTGGTTCCAGCATGTTTTCCCCCTCTCCACGTTTGCGCCTGTTCGCGCGCGCTCGGCCGAGGGGTTGTTCTTGCTTTAGGTCACAAAACCTGGTATCGTTTCTGCCGCTCGTGCTTTTCCGCCGGCGGCTCCGCCTGTGGGCGGCCCCGGGTCGTGTGCTGTACTTGGAGGTTTTGCTCTATCAATGAGCACCGTTGCCTTCTCAGCGTCCCCTATTTCGCGACTTTTTTGCTCTTACCCTTTGGCACTGCTTTCTTTTCGTTCTTAGCTACGCGGACAAGAGATTTTTTTTCTGGTGCCAGTCACGTTCTTTCGGCGTCTTAACATACTATCTTTATAGTATTATCGATATATGTATGTATATGTTAGCGTGAAGGGGAAACAGAGGTGGATGGCTGATCATAGAATATTCTCTCCGTGTTTGGTTCGCTGTCGTACAGTTAGCACATCCTTCTGATTGAAAACGTTGAATTTTGGTTGGTAATTAGGGGACTAATTAAATCGGGTTAAAAAAATTTTTACCGATGCACAGGTTTATTTTCAACTATAATGGGGTTACGTAACATAATGTTAGTTAGCATACCCAACACAAAGAAAGCGTGGAAAAGAATCTATATCACAATGAGTTCTAATATTAAGAATTTTGATACTGAATTAAATTTTGAACGGATCTGCAGAAATCCAATACATTAACATTTTCAATTCCAACATATAATTTCCATTTTAATACTTTCAAACGGTTTTTATTTTATAAATTCTAGGGGCCTATATTTTTTTAGTGCGAATTGGGAAAATCCGGCATTTTCCGAAACACATGAAATTTGAATTGAAAAGTTGAAAAATTGAATATTGTGCATCGTTTTTGAACATGGGCAGTTTTTTGTGTGAAAGATGTTACAGATTTAAGACATGATGTCAATTTTGGAATTTTCAACGTGGCCGCCAGATTTTTCAGAAGCAGAGTGCAAGAATATATAATGGAAGGCAGTGGTGGATAATAATTTTCCCATCCCCCCAGATGCTCAGTTTTTCCCGGAATTCTCACAATCGTTCGAAGGAAGGTGATTTGCCATGAAATATTCTAATGTAACTTTTGATATTGAACATGTTCTTAGTACTTAAGAGATTCGTATATGTTAAATCAAGAATATTGTACTTTAATTGTGGTGCAATTCACGGTGGCATCTAATGTTGGAATCTACGGGCGGTCACATTTGCATTTTTCACTTTTTTTAGTGTCTAAATAAGAGTTTTGATTATCTTGATGGATACTCGAATGTGAGGTGAGTGGGGGGTGTCGACGGCGGTTGTTGACAGGGAGGTTCTGCACTCGTTTGTGAATCTTCGCGTTTCGTTAGAGGGGTGGGTGGCTGCGTGGTGGGGGAAGGAACGGATCTCCGGCGTTGTGGGGTGCAGCAGGACCGGGGTGGGAGAGTTCGTCACCTGGCCGCGACATGTTGAGGTGACCAACTGGGTCTCTGGGACGGCGGCGGCTCCTCTGGTGGGTTGCGGCGGGGGCGGAGGAGCAACGACTCGCGGCGGGCCGGCAGGCTTTAGGCAGCGGCGGGGGGACCGAAGGGGGGCAAGGGAAGGCAAGGGGCGTGTTGTTTAAACAAGACCAAGTCTTTTTGTGACTGCAGGGTGGCATTTTGTGCGCGCCGGGCCCTGCCTTCCCGCTCGGAATTTTACACAGATGCTTACGCGAGAAATGTACAGCAACAACGCATGGAGCCATTTTTTGGAAATTTTGAAAATATTCCAAAGGGCTGCTGGTGTATATTCCCGAAATAACTAATGAATTTTTAATTTAAGACTCGACACAAGACAGTGATTGGGGGATGAAATTTTGGAGAAAATGCTGTTTAAAGGTTACGCGCAAGCGTTGTTTACAGCAGACGGGCAGACATAGATTTGCCGTATCGAGTTTTTGTATCACAAGGACCACAAATGGTTTTGGTTCCTAAGTGTTAAAATGATTTCTCCCTATTTATAAGTGGATTTTTCAAATTTTTTGTTTACAGGGTCTTGTAATAGGATTTTGATCGAAGTTCGACGTTGTTTCTGCTAGCGTAACATACTTCACTGGTAAGTGGTACGAGAAATTCTAGTGTTCCAAGTGGCAGAGCTTCCCCGCATTAGGTTTTATATTGTCTTTGCTACTCGGCTAGCTACTCGGACTTGGAGTAAGTGAAGTTGACCTGAGCATTTATTTTTTTAAAAAACAAAAAGATAGATCAATATGGGTTTAGATGTAGTACGGATAGAACGTACATTTGGCATCTCAACCTACGAAAAATTAAGAAAATATTTCTAAAGCCGGTTATTGAAAAACTAGGCATTTCAACTAACATGTGATTGTGAACGAATATGATCTTTTTTAAGCGTTTACGCTAATAGTCAATTTAATAAAACATTTTGTGGTTTTTGTTATGAAGCAATTGTTTTAGAAATAACGATGCCTGATGTTGAAAGCCAATTTTTTTTCAAACATACTCTAACTTTTCATAAATGAGTATGATATTATTAAAGTTTATTTTTGAATAAACACGGAGTTGCTTAAAATTATATACAAATATGCATTTTCATAGGTGAGTTAACAACATTCTCTTTAGCATTATAGTAATCTTATTGAGATTGCACCATTGTCTTAATATTATACTATGTGGAGATCAAAATTTAAAAAAATTGTGTTCATGGGTCTTCCCAAACTGAGAGGTGATGGCTTACAAATTATGGGCAGTAATAAACTTTAAACAGAATCTAACATTAAATATTTGCAATTTTATTTTTAGATTCCAGGCAGAGGAGCTAATTTTTCCCATAGTCGTTAGGCAATAATTGGTTAATGAAATCTGCCTCTTTGCCAAAAGTGAGATGTGCGTGTATTATCCTCAAAAGTAAGCCCGAGCTAAAGGTTTCCAGCGTAATTTAAAGTTTGATTATGTTTAGAATGTTCTACGTGGTTCAATGTTTTAAATTTCGTGATCAATCTTTAATTAGACACTTTGGTGTTTATGATTTTTGTTTCTGGATTTTTCTGGTGTGGTATGCTTTAAATTTAGTTAGAGGTACTCACTTGTTAGTGTTGACTATTATGATGTTGTGCATGGTTGACTGTTTAAATTTGGCTATATTAATCCACTACTGGGAATATAAATTTTTTGGCCTGTCGCTCAACAATGGCTGAACTATCATTGTAGGTCGCATGAGTCAAAACATACGTACCCACGCTTCGGCTTGTAATCTATTTTGTGCCTGACAAATGAAATTCTTTTTGTAAGCAATCAAAAACACATTTTTGACGATAATATTACACAAAAATATTATTTTTTCTTCTAGGAGTTGCCCGACGATCCTTGCATGCTGCCTTGCCAAAGAACCTATTCATCATTGGCTTTGTAATTAATTTTTGTGCTTGTAAAGAAAATTCATATGTTTGGAAACGATAAACACTTAAAATAGTATAAATGTATATATCTTTTTTTCTTATAGGAGTAGCGACCGATAATTGCAGTGACTGAATTGCGAAGAGCTATAATCTACATGTTTTATTGTATTTTCTTTGTGTACTGGGAAAAGATGGTTGTTTTTGGGGAAGGACAGACACACTTTTTCCTGAATAGGAAATAGAATATATAATTTCTCTTAGAGCTAGGAGTAGCCGGGTGATCATCAGCAGGGACTGGGGTTGCCAGGACGATATTAATACTCTGCTTTAGTAATCATTTGCTTTAAAATTGAATTAGAAGTTGACTGATTTTTATAAACGGCAATGTATATGGTTAATCAGTTATAAATAAAGGAATAATTTCGATTTGAAGTTTTTTAATACATAAATATTTGAGGCAAAATGTTTTGAAGTCAAAGGAAGAGAATTTTTAATTACTATTAGAGTAATTGTGAAGAACAATATAGTTGATCCATAATTTCTTGTTAAGATAAACATATGACCTGCACATCTTTGAGAGTTAGATAACCAGGTTGTTAATGAATATTTTTGAGATTTCACTCATATAAATATGTAAATTACAATTTTTGTTTTTTTAATAAAAAAATTTATTAAAATTATTATCCTAAACGCCACGAATAGTCATAGTGAGTCTGAGTTGTAAAATTGAATTTTGACTGACAAACGGTTCAACTCAAAATTAACAGGCCATAAAGGTGATATCATTGCACCGTTTTTTATTGTTTAAGGTTGAGCACGAAATTATTTATTTTTTTCTGTTTAGTAATATAGTTGAAAATATAGACTAGTTATAATGGATTTCTGCGAAGGGGGATGGTCAGTGGCGGCATTTTGTTTTAGGCCGTCGCAATTTTTGGTTTTAGACTACAATTATCTCAGTTGCGGGAATAGCACAAAATTGTTGAAATTATTATACCTGTAATGTTACTATATTGTTAAACTGCGTTGTGATTTCAATTTGAATTTGAACTTAAAATGTGTTTTAAAAATCGTGAAATTCCACGAGAAAGTGTTTATTGGCACCGGTTTTTAGTTGTTTATAGTTGAGTAGAAATTATTGTGAGTTTATTGGTAGGTATATTATTCATGTTTTGTATTATTATGTTATTTTTTGAAGTAATTGGAATTTGCGACAGGATGGTAGGCATGGTGATCCTTTTGTTTAGAGCGTGCAGTTTTCAGTGTTTTTAGACTGTATATCTAGTTGTGGGGTATATAAAATGGTTGAAATTTTAATGTAAAGTCAATTATGATTTATCTGCATTATTATTTAAGCTTCCCAATTTATTAAATATGTTTAAAAAATCAGAAATATGAGTGAAGTGTTCATTGGAACCGCGGTTTTAACTTGTTCTATGTTGAGAAAAAATTTTTTAATTTGTGGTAGAAAATTAGTAATATTGTAGTAATTTAGGCTAGTTGGATTTTCCAATTTATGAGGAAGTGGGGGGCTACTTAAGTAGCAGACCCACTTGGTGTGTTTTTTTATGATTTATAGGTCGAGTACAAATTTTTAATTGTGGTAGAAATATACTAATTATTAC